TTGAACCCGCGCCCTTCTCGAAAAGGAGAGAGCTAACAGAAGCAGAAGGTGACGCACTATCTGGCTTCCCGCAGTCCGTAAGAAGTCAATCCGCCTCCCACTCCATCTGCCCCCAGGACAACATAATCTATTCATTCTTTGTCCACACGTAACTTGGGCCTCCTATGCTCCTGCGGAAACACCAGCATTTTCAGCTATGCATCCTTCCCAGGTCTCACGCGACTGGACAGTGACCGGGAGGCCCTGGTGGTGCTGAGGCAGACAGAAGAAGCAGGGATTCTGGCTACATTGTCTCGGGATGCGGAACATCTTCCCAGCATTTCCCAGCACTGAAATGGAACCGTAGCTCTGGCCCTTCCGAAAGGCGGTTCACTAGATAAATGACAATGAGACAATGAACACTGTGTTTCAAGATGTTCCCTGGGAGCAATTCTGTGCTCTTTGAAAAGTTGCCAATCGAGTGCAACTTCAAATCCCTCCTCTAACACAGAGGGATTCTCTCCAAAGTGTCAAAGCCGAGAAAGCCACAGGGATTAGTAAGGTCTTTAGATGTGCAAGGGCTGCGAAACTCCGTCCGTGGTAACAATGATGTCGATAGCATGGCCCAGTCCACCCAGACAAACAGGACAGGGCCCCAAGCCGCTCGCCAGTGCTTCCGTGTGCACAATAGTGGCTGATGTTTCTCCACTCTAGTCGACTTCATTTTCTCCTTTAACACTGTTGATCCCACACTGATTCATCTGTGGGTCTTGACTTACTCTTTGCAAAACACTAGTTTAAAGGCTTAGCTCGACCTCTGTGGTGACTAAAAAGGAAGTTTCTAGTTTCCTGTTCAGGGGATTTTTTAAAAAATAATAGTGTGACTAGCGACACCACATAAGGGACGGTGGCAACCCTGAGTCATTCTAAGACAAAGCTGAAACACACCCATACGTTACTGTCCGAAAACTAGAAGAAAAACAACAACAACAAAACAACAACCAAAACTAGGCAAAGAATAAGAACAGGAATTTCAAGAAAAGGTAGCCCTGTACCGGCCTATCTGCAGATGAGAAAGATACCATTAATGTAGCAAACACAACGAGAAATGTGGGTTCATTAGCACCTTTCACCCAGGAGAACACCAGGTCTTGGGTGGTCCCCCCGACAATGAGCCCACGTTCAGAACCAATACGGCAGCGCCGACTGGGACCAATCGCGTTGCGTCTTGGGCAACCAGGCAACTTTCCCAGAAAGAGAAAACTGTGATAAAATAGCGTCCGTCATTAACTACGGTGGAATGTTTGTGCTTGTTGTTGGGGGGAGGTGTGTTTATAAGGTTTAAGGGCAACTGTCAATTAAAAATAACAGTCCCCTTCTGGCCAGTGTGGCTCAGCGGTTGAGCATCGACCCTGCACCAAGAGGTCGCCGGTTCGATACCCAGTCAGGACACATGCCCAGGTTGTGGGCCTGATCCCCAGTGGGGGGCGTGCAGGAGGCGGCCCGTTGATGTTCTCTCTCATCCATGTTTCTATTTCTCTCTCTCCCTTCCTCTCTCTGTAAAATTAATAAAGGAAAAAAATAACAGTCCCCACTGAAAATAAGAGAGGCGAGTTTTCTCCCTCTCGGTTGTCTTTCAGGATTTCTGTCTCTGTCCATTTCAAATGTACGCGACTCCCTCTCTTCATGCACTTATCTAATGGGGACCCGTGCACATGCCATTTTCTGAGGCATGGGACATTCCGCATCTGCGCAAAATATCTCTCAAAGCGTTATATCCCCTACCCCCAAAAAGGGGGGCTCTGAGAGACCCCCCTGTAAACACACACTTGGTGCTCAATTGCAGTCGGTGAAGGAGACTGCAGGATGCTCTCTGTGGGGCACCCCAATGTTGGAACAAAGCACCCCATGAAGACTGAGGGGGATGGTTGGTGCTCGATGTTATCCCCCCAACCTCCGTGAGGGCAGGACACCCTCTTTATCAGATACTGGGTGTCTGGACAAGTCAGCGGGGACCCAGAACGCACAGGGCTTCCCAGTCTCACAGGACACATCAATCTTGTCTCCAGCTCCGTCGTCCTGACAGGTGACCCAGTTCCCCTAACACAGATCATCGTGACTGGAACATCTGAGCAGGACGCAGCAGCCAAGAGCTCCGCGTGGAGGCTCCTTTCTCTGTCTTGCAGGAAACATCACCCGGAAAACAGGACTCAGAGCATCAGCCCTGCACCGTGAATCTGTTCAAGCGACTCTCTCGGCTGCCTCCTTCCTTGGTGAGCCCTGGCCTTTGGCCTCTGGGACAGAGGAAGTCAAGCTCCCCTCCCCCTCCAAAATCCAGTCTCTTAGTATCTCGAGGTGCAAACGACATGGACAGACGCATCAGAAAGGCAGGGAGCGGTCAGGTTGGACATGAAAAACCATTGAGATTTAGCAGAGCTGGTCATGCCAGTGGGCTCCGGACAATTTTTCTCTGCGGACGGCAGAGACGGTCACCTGCAGAGTCCAGGCCAGAGACCGGCAACTCAAGCCCACACGTCAGTCTGTGCTTGTCGGGCGGGGACGGCGGGGACACGCAGAGGGGCCTCATGCAGCCCAGGGGACGCGGGCTCAGGTGGGCGTGTGCGCTTTCACACAGGGTGGACGTCATCACAGAACTGCCTCTGTGCAGACCGTGCGGGATCCTGGATCCGGCCTCATCCTGGACCGATTTCACAGCCCCCTCACCGGGGTCACCCTGATGACCGGCCATGTGAAAGCCGGGGTGCCTTCATTCTGACCAGAGGAAAAATACAGAACACACCCAGCCACCGCCCACCTGTCACACAAATACCTTAGTTCTCCCTCTCGGCTCTACTGATGTGCGGGGCTGGTGGCTCCCCGAGGTGGGCGTCCTGGGCACTGTCTGGTGTTGAGCAGCTTCTCCGGTCTCTACCCACCTGGTCCTAGGAGCACCCCATCCCAAGACATCCGTATATATGACCACCTCAAATGTCTCCGGAGATTTTCAAGTGTCGCCTTCTGGGGGAAGCCGGCCTCCCCCTAAGGTCATTCACAGCTGCTCTTTGCTGGTTCCTCGGGTCTTCACTCCCCACACCCCGCGGGAGTTTCTGAAGAAACCTGGGCACCCAGCGCCCCAGCTCCCCCGACCTCTGGAATCAGGCCAGAGGTATTAGCTCCAAAATGGAGACCTGTCGCCTGTCTCAAAGGACGTTTGCAGCCGCAATGGAAACCGAGCCCAACGCCTATTTCTGTAAGAAAGTGTGTCTCAGCTCCGCCAGCCAGAAAGCAAACTTTTCTGATAAAATTCATCTGTGTCTTCGGAACAAAATGTTCGTGTCCCCAAGCCCAGGAGGACCAGGTAGGGAGGAAGCAGGAAGATTTCTCTGCTCTGTGGGGGCCAGGCTGACCGCAGTCACCTCCCTGTCCCGTGCTGTGTCCCCAAGCCCCCCACCCCCATCCCCACCCAACCAAGAGCACCTTCCTGAAGCTTCCAGCCTGTTGGGGTTACTCAGCTCAGTGTGCAAAGAAATCGGGTGATTCTGGGCTCACAGAGATGTGGGTTTGTGTCCGCGTGTGTGTGTCTGTCCCACTAAAATTTTCAAAATGACTTATTTGGGGGCCCCAAGAATGCAAGGCTGCCCTGGTGTGCAGTTCCAGATGGACCAGAGACCCGGATCCGGGTCTCACCAATATTAATCACTGCACCCCCCCACCCCCCTAGAGTTTTTAAATTCTCCACTGCCACCAATTTGGGGGCCTTGGGACCCATTTACCTGTTTGGATATTTCTCTATTCCCCTAACAGAAGGCACAGGCTTGGGCCACCAGAACCATTTCTGACCCATTGCCCTGCTGCCTGCGCAGTCGGTGCTCAGAAGGAAAAACACGAACCCCGAGAAATACAGTCGCCGGAGAGAGGAGCCGGAAACTTTCAGGGAGCTGGTGCGGTTTGAACAGATGGCACCCCCCAAAACACAACCAACCCCAGGAAGAGATGCCTTCTGGGTGGGGCAGCCTCGGGCCGAGGAACCCCGTTTAGTGAGGAAAGAGAGAATCACAGTTTATTTTCTCCGAAGTCACCAACCAGGCCTCCTCTGTCCCCCTCTGTCCTGAATCGAGTCCCAAAGGCACGTCCGCCGCCCAGACGACCAGTCCTGAAACCGCCCCATGGCCTCTCCAACGTGTGGCCTCCTCGCCGGGACAAATGACGCGCCCTTAACTGGAGAGAGCGACAAGACGCCCCGCTGGGCAGGATCCCAACTTTTCTCCTAAGAAGTGGGAGGGAGGGAGGGGCCGACCCGGCCCCAACTTCCATTTTATTTTATTTTTCCCCACTTCCATTTTAAAGACAGATGGACAAGCGCGCAGAAGGCGCAGGCCCGCTGCGGGGCAGCGTGGGGGCGCAGCTTTCGAGGCTGGACACCCCGCGTTTCCCGACCCGCGCGGTGTATCCCCAGGGTGGGGCGCCCCGCGAGCGCCAACGTCCCGGGGGCCCGGAGACGCGGCGTGGTTTTGAAGGTTTCCAAAACTCCGAGTGCGGTCTCACGTTCCCCTCCCCTCCCCCCGGTGGCCAGGCTCCCGAGCCGCGTCCAAATTTAGGCCCGGGACGCAGGGCGTGGCTCGGGGCGGCACAGTGCCCCAGAACAAAGGAGGGCCCTGCGGAACCCTGCCCGTAGCGGGGCGCAAAGGCGGGCCCCGACAATGATGAGGTCCCGTGGAGGGGGGGGGGGGGGGGGTCGGAAAGGTCCAATGCCGCCGCTCCCCCAGGCCCCTGCGACTTTTCCAGGGTTGCTGATTTTGAAAAGCAAAGCTGGCCTTTCGCTTGTAAAGTAACTCCAACGCGGCCCAGGAAGAAAATTGGAGCAAACACGGCGCAGCCGCCTCCTTGGGGCGCGGGCCCTCGTGGGCACCAGGGGTCCCGCCCGGCGGGGAGAGCCCGGCTGTGCCCCTGCGCCCCCTCCATGCGCGCCCTCCCCGGGAGCCGGCCCTCGCCTGGGTCCCCAGCGGGCCTGCCGCGCTCACCCTGGTCCGACAGCGCCGCGCCCAGCAGACAGCAGAGCAGCAGCGCGAACACCGCCCGGCGCGCCATGGTGAGCCCGCTGCAGGGCGAGCCCGATCCCCGGACTAGAGCGCGCGCGGGCGGGGGACCGAGCCCGCCCCCCACCCCTTCCCGGGGCGGAGCCCGCGGCGCGAGGGCGAAAAGGGCTGAGGCGCCGCCACCCCGCCCGTGACTGGCTCGCCCCGCCTGTGGCCACCCCCACGGCACCGCCTAGGACAAGCCCAGCTCCAATGCGCCCCGGAGCTTGGAGGGGCCAGCCGGGGTCGCCCTGGTCCGCCTAGACAGGGAAAAGTTTGGGGACCCCTACCCGCTTCTAACGGGAACCCCAGGGCTGCTCGGAAAGGGTGCGGCCCGGCCGGGTCCCCACGCCCTCTCCTCTCTGACCCTTTAATGTGGATTCCCCTCCCCCACAGCGCGGGCTCCAAATGAAACAGGGAAACCCCCTCCCTGCTCAGGAAACCGTGGGGACCCTCCTCATCTCCACAGTCCCTTCCAGACCCTAACGGGACCCCCCCCCAAGGGACAGACCTTGAAATCCCCTACCTTTTGGGGAGAGTGGGGGTGCACTTCCTCCCCACGCAGCCCTTCCCAAGTGGAATACCGGTGGGCACTTTGGGCGCAGTGCGGACCGCTAGTCCCCGTCCTGACAAGGACTGTCCTTTGAGGGGTTTCCAGTTCCCCCAAATCTCCGCGGGTGGGCGTGGTGTGGGGAGCAGGACGTGTCTCCCCTCTCCCCTCTGAGGCCCCCTGGTCTGGGTCTCTGGTGACATTCAAAGGCCACGTCTGACAAGTGGCTGTGTTTCCCTGTCGCGGGCTTACAACACACTGCTTTTCCTGAAGACATTAGCTCAGAAGTCAGTCGGTGCTGCCGCAGGGACCTGGGGCGCTGGGACTGAAGGATCCCTGAGTCACTTTCTGGAATTCGTCCCTCCTCACCAGACCCAGGTCCTGTGAGCGCTTCTCCCCTCCCCCAGGATGAGTCAGGGCCTCCCCTCTGGCCCTCCTGACGCTGCATCTGCGGCCACTCAGCTGGACTGGGCAGGGAGGGGCAGGCTGGCCAGAGGTGGTGGGACACGTGCGCCCCCGCCCTGCTCCCTGTCGCTGTCTGTCTGCATGACCCTCGCCTGACAGGCACGCTGATCTCAGGGAGACTTTTCTTTTCTTGGCCAAAAGAATGCCAAAGACATGAAGACAATGTATCATGAAGACAGTGCATCTGAAGACAACGTATCCTTTTCAGAGGGGGGCGGAGGGGGAACCAAGAAACCCTGCCTTTGAAGTGTTACTTCTTGTCATCAACCCGGGTTGCCTGCCGAGCCAGATGCCCTCCCCGGGGCTGCTGTTTCTATCTTCCTCTACCCCTCCCCCAGGTCACCTTGAAAGTTTCCATTAGCACCTTTCCCTTTTCCTGGCCACCCTCTTGGGACCAAGGGAAGGTGGGGAGCCTGGGCCCCGGCTTCCTTCCGTGAGAGAACCTCAGGGGCTCTTCGTGTGGAGCAAGGGGATGCTGGAGCTGCTGCAGCCTTTTTGGCACCTTGAGGTAAGTCAGCCTCAGAACAAAGTACAGATAGAACAAACGAACAAAAATCACGTGATTCCCTCAGGAGCCAGAGATTCCTACCTGGGAAATTTCTGGTTCATCCCAGTTACCTTCCAAAGAAATTCCTAACTGCACCATCTCTAACGTCTAACCATGTTGCAGAAGGTTCTGCAGTCTGGCTGCATCTAATCCCCGAGGGGCTGGGTCCCATCACCCAGTGTAACGAATAGGCATTGTCATCATTCACCAAAGACCATGCGTTGAAGCTTTGGATTCATGTCCCTACAGACAGGCATCTGGTTCTTTCTAATTCATTTAGATCCAGCTTCCTTTGCGTTGACAGCAGCCAAGGAGAACAAGCCTCTTGTCACCTGTAGTTTCCATACTGAAAACTTCACGGTTTCTGCCCATCTGTGGCCCAGCCCATTCTAAAAACACCCGTTTAATTAATTCAGCAAAAACTTGACGTAAGCCTTAGCTGGGTGTGTGTGTATTTTTTTTTTTCCATCTTAAACAGCAAAATCAAGAGATGTAGGCAAGTTGCTTAATATACAAACAACTGCCCGGCCACTGTGGCTCAGTGGATTGAGCATCGTCCATGGACTGAGAGGTCCGGGTTCGAGTCCTGGTCAGGGCACAGGCCCGGGTTGCAGGCTCGATCCCCAGTAGGGGGCGTGCACGAGGCGGCCGATGGATGTTTCTCACATCCATGTTTCTCTCTTTCTCTCTCTCTAAAAAATCAATAAAAACATATTTAAAAAATATATATATGAACACTACTTTGTTAATGAAGCTGAAGCCTGTGGTTTGTCTGGCTGAGCATCAAGAATTCATTTCCCAGAATCCTGCATCTCACACGGATCCTGTCTGCCTCACTGGACAAACAACCTTCTGTGTTACAACTGTGTGTGTGGCACCAAGTGGGCCATGGTGACGGTCATGGTGACGGTGCCCGGGCGGCCGCCGTACGGTGTCCCGGAAGACAGAATGTGGCCAAAGAGCTTCTGAATGGGCTCGTGTTTATTTCCGGGCCTTGGAGTCTCTTGATGAGCACTGAACAGGCTCAGCTTTTCTATCTCAGTACCTGGTTGAGAGCCCGGCACAGACCCAGGACACTTCCCAGACATCGTGAGAAATGGAATAGAACACGCAGTCATTTCCTCGGGACAGCAGGGCATGCGGCAACAGACGCGCCTCAGCGTTTTCTTTGTCTTTTATTATTATTATTATTAATTTATTTTTGTTACAGATATTTCTCCTTTTTTTTCCCCATTGACACCCTCCTCCCCATCCCCCCCCCCCATCCTGCCCTGGCTTTGTTGTCCATGTCCATCGGTTATGCGTACACGCATATAAGTTCTGTGGTTTCTCTTTCCTCCCCCGACACCCCCTTTTCTGAGGGTTGTCAGTCTGTACGCTACTTCCACGTCTGTGGGTCTACCTTGTTCCTCAAACTGTTATGTTCATTACATTCCACGAATAAGTGAGATCGTGTGATATTTGTCTTTCTCTGCTTGGCTTGTTTCACTTAGGATAATACTCTCCAGGTCCCTCCATGTCATCTCAAAGGATAAGAGATCTTTCTTTTTCACAGCTGCATAGTACTCCATTGTGTACATGTACCACAGCTTTTTTATCCATTTGTCTACTGATGGACACTTGGGCTGTTTCCAGATCTTAGCTATTGTAAATAGTGCTGCTACAAACATGGGGGTACATATATTTTTTCTGATGGGTGCTCCATGCTTCTTAGGGTATATTCCTAGAAGTGGGATCAAGGTCAGAGTGTATACACCTGACCTTGAACAATGCTGGGGTGTGGGGCACTCACTCCCTTCTATTGAAAATGTGGGCACGAATGTTCACTTCCCCCAAAACCTAACTCTGAACAGCCTTCCGTTGACCGAACGCCTTACCGATCACATAAAGAGCCCGTGAACACATATTTCGTGTGCGACATACATTCCCGACTGTGCCCTTAAACAAACTCAACTAATCAGTGAGGGGAAAAGAAGAAACATCTGTAACAAAAATAAATTAATTAATTAAATTTTAAAAAAATAAAGAAAATCTCAAGGCGGAGGTAATACCTACATCGAAAGAGTGTCCCCCAAAATGGAGACAGGGTGTCTGTCGATTCTATTACATTGGGAAAATGAAATGCGTTTGAATCAGGACTGGCTTTATAATGACCCTTTTTTGTGTGTATCCATTTTTTCTGGAACACTCAATATTTGACGCATTGGTGATACCCACATGTTTGTGAACTTTTTTGTATGTTTTAAATATTTCTAGGCTGCTTGGTGAGTTTTTTCGAATTGTTGCAAATCAGCCCTGGCCGGTGTTGCTCAGCGGTTAGAGCATCGGCCTGCAGACCAGAGACCCGGGTTCGGTTCCCGCGAAGGGCACGTACCTCGGTTGCAGTGTGTCCCCGGCCCTGGTTGGGGTCGTGCGGGTGTCAGCCACTGGATGTGTCTCTCTCACGTTGATCTTTCTCTCTGTTTCTTCCTCCCTCTCTCCCTCCTGCTCTATCTGAAGATAAATGCAAAAATGTCCTTCGGTGAGGATTGAAATAAAATTAAAACATGATTGCAAATCTCCAAAAATGTTTCCAATGTATTTATTGGGGGGAAACAAACATGTATAAACAGACACTGTAGTTGAGTCCACTGTTGTTCGAGGTCCAACTGTAGCCTCATATGCATGAAAACGGCACGTAGCCAGGGAGACCACACATATTCCGTCTCACGTGTCTCTTTGTGCTCATGGCTGCGGATATCAGACGACCCCTCAAGAGCAGGGGTCGGAGGCAGCTGCTCACACGCCGGTTTCGCTCCAGCCCACGGCCGCGGGCTGACCTCAGACCCCACCTGTCCATTTCTATTCCTGCTGGTTAAGGCTCCCTCTCGGCTCAGATGAGGGGAAAGTACATCGTTTACAGAGCCAGCGAGCACAGTTCCCATGTGTCCCTGCCTGTCCCCCGAGTTTGTCCCCAGAACTCACCCAAGCAGTGTGCCCGGGCTTGATGTCTCCCCTTCGTTCAGAGCATCAGGTCGGCCATAAACCACCCGCAAGACTCGGCGGTTTCCCGGGATACCTCGTGTGGCCAGAACGCGTTTACTCGAGTGCCCGCAAACACACCCCTGTCTCTTCCTAACGGTTTTGTGTGCCGTCTTCCTTGCTTGGAGACAAGCTGGACCACGCTGTCCCCTGTGGTCACGGCCAGGACACTGGAACCGAGGGTCTGGAGATCTGGGTCCATGGTTCGGTCGCTCTGTCCGGCTCCCGCCCAGGTGTCCTGCGTTCGGAGTCACCTCGAATCCCCCGCCACTGGATTCATTACGACAAAGCTTCTTCATCTGGGACGCGTCACGTGTACTTGGGCTACTGGAACAGCATGCGGTCGGATGGTTTATCCACACAGTCCAAGGTCAAGGTGGGGGGTGGGGGTGGCTTCAGGGTGTGGTGAGGACTCTCGGCCTCATGTATAGGGACCCACTGGCTGCTGTGTCGTCACCTGGTGGAAAGACCAA